GCCGAGTAAAAGGGCTTTCCCCTGGAGAAACCTCTGCAATTTGAATGTAAATACTGATCCATAAGAACTCCGTGGACTAAAAGTTCCTGCCACAAAGTTGTACTATTGAGTAAACGAGGAAAGTTCTCAAGCAGAAGAGTCACAAATGAAGGAAGTGTCCTTATTCTTACCTGCTGCACGCAGTTAAATCAGATTTTTGTAGCAGAGGTTTCTAAGGGTAAGCCAACACATGTTGCTTAAAGTTCTGTTAAAAATAAAAGTAGTGTCATTTGCACAGCTCCACAGCGTCGGCCTAATCTCTGGCCGGTATGGGCAGAAGTCAAGAGGCTGCTGCTGGTAGTGTTGCAGTTGTGGGAAGGTTGGCCTACTTGCTTAAGTCACAGCCTGTCTTAGTATTCGTCTTGACCACATGCATGCCTGTCTGCCTGTGGTGCACCATGCCGTCATCTCAAACTAGCAATAAGGAAATTTATATCTTGAACAAACAAAGAATTTCATTAAAACTAAATCAGAGGTACTTTTCTCTGTGCAGAACCCTTCGCTTCTAAGAAATGTTTGACTGAACTGAAATCCATTAGTGCTGAACAGTATAAATATCAGAATTTTATATCCGTGCTGTAGGATATAAAATTCTGATATTTATACTGTTAAAAGTTAAGGAGCTGTGTGTTGAGACTCACAGAAATCCAGCTGAGTACGGCTTTAGAATAACTTTGATTGTAGAGTAAAAACAGTTGCTAGGCAGTGTTTGCAGTTTAAAGGGTTTGTGTTCATTGTTTGACCCGATGAAACTACAATACTGCCATCCAGTAAATTCATACATGGAATTTAATTAAACCCAGACAGCTTGTGTCAGTAGAAACTAAATAAAGCTCTGTAACCCAAAAGGATAAATAAATGGATTCTGTAGGACCACGTTTTTTTAAATGAAGAAGGGAAGAGTGTGTATCTGTGTGTGATGTGTTTGAAGGAGAAGTGTCATCATTAAAAAAAACCCAAAAAACACAAGTTCCTGTTTGTGAGTGACAAAGGAAGAGAAGCAGCATGAACCCACCAAAGCCTCGATATGAAAGTCTGTCAAGCTTTACTCGGTTTCATCTTCCTCAGTGAGTAAATTAACCTCACATTTCTCTCATTTCTCTGCTCTCGCCATCACTGGCCTTTTTGTTTTTTTAGGAGATCGGCTGTAAGTTTTGTTCCTCATAAACAGTTTCGTCTGCGTACTGTTTCATCACTCACACGTTTGTTTCAACGTGGTGTTTAAAGCTGAAAACATCCTCCTGAGATCCAGAAGAAAAAATGTTTTGATATTTCGATTTTAAAAAATGTAAGCATTGCAGATTTCTTTTCAGAATCATTATTTATCTATTTATTTATTATTTTCTGTCCCTTGAAGTGGAGATCAGGTCTTGTTTGATCACACAATGATATGATGGCTCTGAAGTGTGCAAGTGGAGTAATACTATCAGGAGATGAAGAGAACTGTGCTTGGACAGTAGAGCAAGAAGTTTAGACGGAGGACGTATCAGCTTTTAAGGGGCCTGAGAAGGAGAAAAACGACAACACGCAACATCCATTATGAATAAGAAATATTGTATAAACTAAGACTCTGAAACTGTTGGCTTTCACTTCTGAACTGCCATACAGGACACCAACCTATGAAGGGAAACATCTTTCCAAGGCAGCCTTGTTGAATTCTGTTTAATTTTTCTTCTTGTTATTTCTCTGGACTGCCCAATCTTGAAGAATCTGTCTCAACTCATTGAATTGGCTATAAATACGACCCGGTAGACTCAGATCCTAGTCTCTCTAAAGCCACAGATATGTTGAAGAATGTTATTGTTCCAAAATGTTTTCACCTTTAATGCTAACTTCAGAAATAACCATCTCCCTCTTATTTGTGTACTGATTTCGTTTTCTAAAACCTGGTTGCCTGCTTTCTTTTTGGCGTAATGAGAGGACCACCTGTTCTGTAGTTGCAGGCAGCTTTGTTCTGTTTTCATATTTCATCCTGAAAATAAGTTCAAGCCAGTTGCAGCA